CCCTTAAGGTTAATAGTTTGACATGTCCTGCTTCCAGATAATACGGCAATTATAGAATTTTAATGATCAGTTATTAAAAAATCAATTTTAATGATTCTTACCTATGCAGATATTGCCCCGAAGTTCATAACCAGTGAAACACTGACAGCGGAAACTGCCTGGGACGTTCTCACAGTAGCCATTTTCACAGGGACTGGGGGTTCTTCGACACTCATCAATATCTGAGACAAGATGGAAATATGAAGATGTAACCTGCTATCACAAAATCTCATTGTTTTCATCATAGAAGTTACAGACATTTTCCTGTACTGATGATGAAAGTAGTTATTGATTGAGAACCAAAAATGTAACAATGTAACAATATTAGCATTCTAAACCTATCGTATTGTTATTGAACATTGTCCATTTAACAGCTACAATCCACGTTTGCAGTATGTACTGTGGGGCTTCCCTTTTTCTCATTGCGTTGCAGACATGCTTATTACTAGATGAACACGTACATGGCTGAATATCAGGAAAGGAGAGCCTGATACAAGAATACTAAGAAGCTGAATAAGACGTGCAGTTTGCCTTCACTGACAGGTAGAGAACAGATGTTAAATTCTCCTACACATTAACTGAGATTATTCAAGAACAAATCCAAAAAGATTTCTAAATGAGATAGCAGGAAGTCGTTAAGGCAAGCTAGCATCTTAAGATTGGCACCTTCTCAAAAACCACATGTTGTCTGTAAATATGGCAAAACTAAATTATTGGGGCTAAATAGTTATGGTATTTCGATGAGAAAAAATAGATCTTAGTTCATTAGTTCAAGTGTGTCATTAGTCCTAAAATGTAAAGATTGAAAGCCTGAAACGGGCAGTAGCATAGCTCTCAGATAAACTGAGAACCCTCTATACACAGTACTGGTCAAGCTTATTAGAATAGAATAGTGATACTTTATTAGTCCCAATGAGGAATTTCTCTTTTCACTTCGCCCATCTTTCTCTCCATACTGGTGGACACAAGCTTGGGAATCACAGCAAAGGGCAGCCACCTTGCGGCACCCGAAGAGCTCGGGGTTAAGGACCTTGCTCAAGGGCCCACAGACATGTGACTGTTCTGTCACTGCCAGACTTGAACCAGCAACCTTCTGATCAGGTACACATAGGCTTAGTTCACTGTAACCACACACTACCTTGGTACCCTTTTTGGCATATGATGTACAATATCTTCTTATATATCTTCAGGACAGTGAAACAGCTCTGATTGATATATGCCCATTTGTTTGATACACAAGAGCACAGGATTAGACAAGAATAGTTAAAGGAAATGTGTGTAAATGGTCTTTCTCGTTAGTCAGAGTGGGACGGCCAAGTTGCATTGGTTTGGGTTCAACCCACTGTAACACACACATTAATAATCGCTTGCTTACATTCTGACACACACTACTAATACAAGGGCTGGGATTCTGCTGACACTCATCAACATCTGTGAGAAAGGAAACGGCTTTACATTCATACTCATCCTTAGGAAATCTACCTACAAATACTATTGAGGAGGCGAGAAATTACCCTGGCATTGCTGGTTCTTCAGTTCAAATCCTGGTCTGCATGGAACACACCTAAAGGAGCCTTTTGTATTTACACACTCTTGACCGGGACACTGCAGGTCATTCTTACACTCATTAATATCTGAAACAAACACAGACACAACATAAAACAAAGAGTACACACTAAGTGTACATACTGTAAATGCTTTTTTCACCTTTTTGTCTAAAGTCAGGCTGGTGTGGCGTCTCACTGGGTAGCAGCTTGTGTGTGCAGAGTCACGTGTGTTTCCTCCCACAGTCCACAGATATGGTGGCAGTGAAACTGGTGTCTATAAATTGCTGAAAGTTCATGATCCTGTATGTGGACTGTGATGGACCATCCTGTATGTACCAAAGCCTAGAGGCCTATGCTGACTGACCAGGATAAGAACTTAGAGTCAATTTTCTTTCTTTTAATTTTTTATCCTATTTTATGGTTGCTTAGTAACCTGTACAAAGGAACTACAACAAATGATACCAGCACCCTTAAGGTTACTAGTTTGACATGTCCTGTTTCCAGATAATACGGCAATTATAAGAATTTTAATAATCAGTTATTAAAGAAACAATTTTAATAATGCTTACCTAAGCATGTGTTGCCCCGAAGTTCATAACCCGTGAAACACCGACAGCGGAAACTGCCTGGGACGTTCTGACAGTAGCCATTGTCACAGGGACTGGGGGTTCTTCGACACTCATCAATATCTGAGACAAGATCATCACAGAAGTTAAAGACAAATTGAGAACCCTGAATAAACAGTACTGGTGAACATTACTGGCACCCATTTCAGCATATGATGTACAATTTGTTCAGGTAAGGCACGCATGGTATTGTATTTTTGCCGATATTTAATATCCCAATACTTTCAAAGTCATTTTGGCCAAATCCGTTACCAATATACAGTATGCACGTATTTTTAAGTCTTTGTGCTGTTCAGGATGAGGACTCTTATGATGTGCAATTAAATTGGTAATGTTAACTGAATGTTGTTTTACTGCTCCACTCACCACTGGTGCTTTACAAGCATTGCAAATAACAATTTTATCTGTTTCACGCTTCAGACTTCAAAGTACAGTAACCCCTTCAGATTTGTGGTTTCAATTATTTGCCAGTTGTCATTGAACAATTAAATGGGATTATTTTTGGAACGTGCTGAAAGTTTGCAGAAACTCACAGACGAAGCGTAAACTACAGAAAATACCGAAAATGAACTGGATCACATAAAATCATACAACATATAAATATTAGTGATACATCATAATTTTTGTGTAAGGGCCTGCTATATCTTTAATATAAAAAGTCTTGGCTTGGGTAAGCCGCACATCTTTGTCTCAGTAACCAGCCTCACTCACGTGTCAGCTGTCATTGTGACAGATTCTCGCAGTAACTGTTAAACTTCAGGGTTCCAGTAATTTTGCATTTTTAATAACGGGTCTGAAATGTAGTGCTCCTATTGCATGCAGTAGTAACTTTGCACATACCGGGGCATAATGTAGATGAGTAGTGTATTATATAAAAAGGTCTAGATAAGAAATGACACAGCAATTTCACATGCAAAGTGTACACTACCCAGTGTTGGGGAAGATACTTTTAAACAGTAGCTTTTCAAGCTACAAGCTACTTTTGATTAAATGCCACAGCCAAGTTACTGTTTTAATATAGCAGTTAGCTACGCAAAAAACTATAGAGAACAGTAGCTAACTACACTGAAGCTATTTCATCTGGTAATATTTAATATTTGTGCTGTAGGATGCTCTTAAATCAAATTAATAAAAATACGTGAAACATGATGTTAAAAGTAATATGAGAATCTATATATTTTTTAGCAATGTGACGTCACATCACAATAACGTTTCAAAAAAGTTTCTTTGTATGGTGTAAACCAAGAGTACTTCATAATTGCTGTGTGAAAATTAGAAGGCTTACAAAAAAAAAAAGATTTTGATAATCTGTCCAAGAACCAGTTAGTAAGTTAATAGAGCTACTAATTGTAGTTAGCTACTCCCAAACACTGACAGTACCATACTTTTTGTTCAGAAATTGGTAATAAATAGACTTCTTATGTTATCAGTCATTCTAACAGACTGTTACATGGTTGAGATTAGGGGTGCCCAAGTACAATTTATTAATTTTCACATTTGCAGTCATCTTCTGCCCCTAACCCTGGCAAGTGTGGAGGGGTTACTGCACTTCCATACAGCCGACATGTTTAAGCTTCTTGTTGGTGGTCATAAGACACATTCAGTGTCGTTTCGTTAATAGGTCGTCATATCGTCAGGCTCATTGCCAGAAGTTTTCATATTGGCCAGTGCTAACGATGAATTTTTTAAGCTTTTATCGGCCGATACCGATGTCGTGCCGATATCATCCTGCATCCTGATCTCTGTCTTCAGAACAGTGATACATCTTTGGTTGATATATACCCATTTGTTCAGTAGACAAAAGCACATGATTAAACAAGAATAATTAAAAAGAAATGTTTGTGAATGTCATTGCTGGCTAGTCAGAGGGGCATGAATCAGCTGCATTGGTTTGAGCTCCTACCACTGGAACAGACACACTGGTAACTGCCTGGGCTATTCTCACATTGACTGTTAACACAAGGGCTGGGATTCTGCTGACACTCATCAACGTCTGTGAGAAAGGAAACGGCTTTACATTCATACTCATCCTTAGGAAATCTACCTACAAATACTATTGAGGAGGCGAGAAATTACCCTGGCATTGCTGGTTCTTCAGTTCAAATCCTGGTCTGCATGGAACACACCTAAAGGAGCCTTTTGTATTTACACACTCTTGACCGGGACACTGCAGGTCATTCTTACACTCATTAATATCTGAAACAAACACAGACACAACATAAAACAAAGAGTACACACTAAGTGTACATACTGTAAATGCTTTTTTCACCTTTTTGTCTAAAGTCAGGCTGGTGTGGCGTCTCACTGGGTAGCAGCTTGTGTGTGCAGAGTCACGTGTGTTTCCTCCCACAGTCCACAGACATGGTGGCAGTGAAACTGGTGTCTATAAATTGCTGAAAGTTCATGATCCTGTATGTGGACTGTGATGGACCATCCTGTATGTACCAAAGCCTACAGGCCTATGCTGACCAACCAGGTTAAGCAAGATTGCTGTTATCCTGCATTATAAAATAATTATAACCATTTAATATTTTTTAGCTGATACTTAAAGTCAATTTTTTTTCTTTTCATTTTTTCAACTTTTTATTCTTTCAATCTATTTTATGGTTGCTTAGTAACCTGCACAAAGGAACTACAACAAATGATACCAGCACCCTTAAGGTTACTAGTCTTACATGTCCTGCTTCCAGATAATACGGCAATTATAGAATTTTAATAATCATTTATAAAATATTCAATTTTAATAATTATTACCTATGCAGGTGTTGCCCCGAAGTTCATAACCAGTGAAGCAGACACAGCGGAAACTGCCTGGGGCGTTCTCACAGTAGCCATTGTCACAGGGACTGGGGGTTCTTCGACACTCATCAATATCTGAGACAAGATGGAAGATGGAGATGTAACCTGTTATCTGAAAACCTCATTGTTTTCATAACAGAAGTTAAAGACATTTCCCTGTACTTATAGTGGAAGTAGTTACTGGTTGAGTGCAAAAATGTATCAATGTAACAATATTAGCATTCTAAGCCTATTGTGTTGTTACTGAACATTGTCCATTTAATAGCCACAATCCATGTTTGCAGTATGTACTGTGGGGCTTCCCCACCAGCGGGACACATTCAGGGCTCAATGTCTTGAAATGAGCACCTGCTACAAATATGCTAAGAAGCTTGATGAAGCATTTATCTCTATGTTTTTGACTAACTTAAATCATATGATTCCAAAAAATAACAGAACAGCCCACATATGCTGTGGCCAAGAGAGTTTTAAAAGGTTACAGAAATGACAATGCACACTGGCACTGTTTATGATAATTCCTCTTTTATTATACATACTCATAAAGCACTTATTCAACTTCACTCAATTGAAAACCTGTCTTTTTTTCCACCCTGAACTATGTACCTATCAAGTTATCGGTGAGAAATTGTAATATTCCACTAAATCTAAATAGAATTATATTAGTCAAGCCAAACATTTAAGTTGGAATAAAAAAGAGAGTAAATTTAAAACAAACTATTTGAAAGCATACAGTTTCTGACAGAAAACCGTAGACTGGCCTCACCAAAACACCTTGTCCTCTGTAGGTTGAGCTGGTATCCTGAGTTACAAATGCAGGTGTACCTCTCACCAGGTAGATCAACACAGCGCCCTGGTCCACATAACTGGGGATTGGAATCACACCCCTGAAATCCTACGAAATTAAAATTCACAGTTACTCATTAAGACTATCTGAATGTAAGTACTGTACAATAAAACATCTGAACAAGTGAAAAAAAATGTTTAGCTAGTTTTATAGAAATGACAGATTACAATTATACTAGTGTCCTTTGTTACCTGAGATGCAAGCCAGCCTTCCATATGTAGTGGATAGATTAATATAGAAGCTTGAGTGCAACAATGTAACAATATTCCCTACAATGAAGAGATACACTGAGAGGGACGAACAATCCTGGGCCCCACACACTAGGGTTGCACTCAAAGTTTTACTACTGGCACCCAGTGCTTCGATTAGCATATTATTGATGTTCCATCATTTTTAATTCCCTCTTGTTTCTGTATCTGTTTCAAAAATAGCTTGAATGGCCCACTTAGGGGGCCCTATCCATGTCAGCCTTGGGCCTCCAGAGAAGTTAGACCATGCCTGAGAGGGGCATATTTTCTGGGCATCGCCAACTGTTACATTCTGCATTCTTTTAAAGTTCAGAGGCGGTTCAATTAAAATCAAAACACAATTCAGTGGTACCTCAGAACTCGAATATAATCCGTTCAGAACTCCGGATTGAATCCTAAAAAGTTCGAGTTGTGATCGAATTTTCCCCATAAGAAATAATGGAAAACCAATTAATTGGTTCCCGGCCCCAAAAAATACACCTAAATATGTTTTTTTTTAGCATTTAAACACAAAATGAACTGGATAAAAGAAGAAGAGCATATACTGTACTAACCACATCTAAGCACATTTATCAAAACAGTAATTTGTAAAGCAAGAAAATAAATGCATCCAAATAATGTATCCTGCCCCGATCGTCCCCTCCTTCCGTGTGCCACGCCCCCTCGTTAACCCCGTGTGGAATCCCCGTGTGATCAGCTGTTTCTGGTTGTTGTCATTAGTCCTCTGTATTTCGTCTGCGTTTCAGTTTGTTTCCCCAGTCCGGTCATTGTATTGTCCGTCTGCGTTTTGCCTGCCTTACCTGTAATTAAACCCCGTATTCCCGGATACCTTGATGTCTGAATCTTTGTCTCCAGTCCGTCCCCGCTCGGCAGGACAATATTATTATAATTAAATGTATTAATGGTTTATTATTAACATTAAAATAATTAATAAGAAATCTTTATTTGTAAATGTGTTTTATTATATAATAATAATTACTGTTACTGTCTATCATTGTCTAAATGTGTTTTTACTGTCTAAATATATGTATTCAGTTAGTGTAAACAGGCACGATGCTATCACAGCTTAGTCTTATAAACATGTTATGCATACTGTAACACTGGCCCTGTTTACACTTGGTTTTAATATGTGCTTGGATCATAAGTAGTTTATCCAGGGCCCATCGTTGTTTACATTGGTGTCTCTGCTGTGTCTCCTGGGTGTCCGGCTGACTACTTGTGTTCAGATTTCGTTACTGCCTGGGTCACTTCTGCTAGAAGGTCAGTTATTGTAACTTCCCTACGTGGCCAAATGCGTCCCAGACCACATCGGCAAGTGGTTTGGGTGATCGGATCACAGTACGTCTTGGTGGTCGTTTACACTTGTATTTATCTCGGTGCACTTCTGAGCCGATTGTCCATGATGCATTTTAAAACCAAGTGTAATCCCTGTTGTAACACTGGTGTGGAGCAGGTTATTTTGCTAGTCATTTTACTTTTAATGGACTATAACAAAAACAACAAAAAAATATATACCAGGAAAAGTAGTGGCAGATATTTCTCCAGGATGGAGGACATATAATATATCAATTTCAATATTAGACATCATGTCTTTGGACAACTGAAGTAGACATTTTGTTATCAATGCCCACAGCTAATACATTGTGCGATACACAAATTTTCTTTGTATAGGTATCAGGATGACAAACTTAACATCCAGACGCAACAGCTTCTGTGAGGACCATATTCTTCTCAAAAGGATAAACTGCTTATATGTGACAGACATTTGTTTTGATGTAGGCTTTATTATGAAACACAAAATTGCCAAGATGGGGTTGGTCTTGACCTGGCCTTTCATGATGCCTGTAATGACTGCGATGCAATGTATTAACTTCTTTTGTTTTCTTTGCAAAGTACAGATTGATTTAGTGAAGGTTTTATGACACTTAAATTTCTTTGGAGGAGTCAAAGGTTTTCATGAGGCCAGCCATAGTGAATTACCTATGGCCATGATGGGCACATCAAATGAAAACACTTATAGCATTTAATATGATGCCGTAAAGCTGTAAACTGCAGCTTTGTGCTTTAATAAAAATAACAGCATGAATTAAAAATAAGACTTTCACCATCTATGCTTTTGACTCTCAAAAATTTCAATAGCATTTGATAATTTTAGGTTTAAGAATTTTTTTTTACGATTATATAACATTTACATGCCATTATTTTGATCCATATATCAAAAATACAGTATTGAAAGCAGCTTCTGATCCAGGACTCCATTTTGAGAAAACACAACATAACCATGTGTTGCCATAACCTGATTTGGTAATGCTTTGCATTAACTACACCTTCATAATGCATTCATTATACATTCAGTGCATTCATAATGCATACATAGCGCATTCATAATGCATTCCTAAGCAGCATGTAAGTGTACCTAAACAGCCTGTCATCCCGTAACAGCTTTAATATATATTAACAATAAGCATTATACAATTGTATGATTATGAATGTTCTATGAATGCATTATAAAGGCATTATGAATGTGCAGTTAATGCAAAGCATTACCCATTACTCCTACATACTACATTTGCTTAATATTTACTTTCTGATAGCACAGTATATAAATATTGTAACTGCTCTTGCTGAGGTGGCTGGTACCTGGTCTTGGCTGAGCTGGACGAGGTGTCACTGCTGCTGGCTGAACAGGCCTCACTGATGAAATCTCCTGTCTGTTAGCTTGATGGATGCTTTGCCTTTGAGTAGAAGCTAAAAAAGCAACACAGAATGACTTACACAACGTTAATTAAAAACATACATTGACATTGAAATATTTTACTGGCGTCCTGTCCAGGGTGCACTCCAGCCGTGTGCATGTTGCCTGTGACAGGCTCTACGCCCCCAATGACCCTAACTGGGATAAGTGGTTAGGTGATGGATTGATGTGTATATTTTCTGCTTAAACTGAAAATGTGGATGTCCAGCCTCCATGTAAAATGCAGAGAGGGTGGGGTTACCCACTGTCAAACATAAAAGAGCGACTGTCATGGTGTGGGGTAACTTTGTTATTGTCAGAGTTGATTTTTTCCACATTCATGGCAATTTAACTAGCATGGCTATCATAGCATACTTCAAAGACATGTCATTCCAGCTGCATTATGCCTGATTGGGGAGTGTTCCATTCTTCAGATAATGAACCAAAGCACACTTCAAGATTGTGCATGAACTGTCAGGCGAAGAAAGAAAATGAAGGCCTTATCATTGCATAGGGACAGTCGAAGTGCTCTTTTTAAGGTAGCTGGCAGCTGCGCTTGACAGAGCCGCATGCCGTGTCATTGCAACTGGCTGAATTGTTCTCACAAATGAAATGTCCTGTCTGTTAGGTTGATAGATGATTTGCCTTTAGGCGTAGGCTAAAAAAGCAGCATGCAAAATTGCTTATGCAATATTATTTATAAACTAACATTTACATTTCCACATCTTTCACTGAAATAAAAAAGTAGATTCTAATTCTAATTCAAATTCTAATTCTAATTCGATGGAAACAGAATGCTAAAAGAGTATGGCATTTTCAATTAACTTTTTAATTATTTTTTTTCCTCACTGAGCATATAAGCAGCATTTCCCATTCTGAAAGGTACTTCTCGCTACACTAAAATGTCACAAGGTGTACATCACTTTCCAATCTCACAGTCTGCACCAGGAGCATGTATCTGTAAATTTACTTACTCTGTGCGATTAGCTCTTTGAGTTCACATTTTAATTACATGATTAATCTGACCTAGTGAAATTCCATCTGGCTCAGAGACTGAAATGGCACTGCAAATGTCACATTTGGCCATATTAAATAATTTGCTTATAATTAACCTGAATCTGTTATAAATCCGTTTACATCCAGTACAGCAAGGCAAACCCTCACCTGGAAGCCACAGGGGAAAAAGGAAAATAGGACGACCAAGAAACACTTGGCATTGTGACCTGGAGACGGGTATCAAGAGAATGGGACTCTCCTGGCAACAACTGGAATGACTGGCCCAGGATTGAGATGCCTGGAGAGATCTCGTTAGTGGCCTATGCCCGAAAGGGACCACATGCATTGATGATGATGATGATGATGATGATGGATGCGTTTTGGACATTTCTCCACAAAGCTTATTAAGATGAACCTGCTTTGGTGTACACTGGGTTCGTTAGTGTTAATTCCACTCCATGTAGTACAGTCACGTAACCATCCATGAAATATTTAACGCTGTGGCTTTGATCAAACAATGAGCTGAAACTGCCCTGATGAGAGATACACAGTGTGCTTTACTTTATATGAAAACTTATAATGCAGTCTTTAGTTTAAGGAAAATGAAACTATTTCTATATGGTAAAAAGCACAGACTTTACCGAGCATGATCTAAAACCTGTGTCCCTCTCCCTGAATCCGGATTCCTCCTCTTCCTGTCTAAGAGAAATATGTCCCATCTCACTCTGACAAATTGATATTGCAATAAAGTTCAGAACATTCATTCCATCCATTTTCTGTACCCGCTTTCCTATGCAGTGTTGAAGGGGTCCTGAGAATGACCCAGCCCAGGTCGCCAACCCATGACCGGACACACACACACTCACACAACCAACAATTAAAACAAATTTCCTGTGTGGCACGATGTGTTTCCTGCTAATGTATCAATAATATCAATATTGTGTGAATATTGTATAAAAACTGACCTCTGTAAGAAGCCTCAAGTTCTCCAATGGCACCACTTGCTGTGGGATAAGCCCTTACTTTCAGGCCCCAGTGTGTGTTCTGGCAAATTCCGGCTGCCTAGCTGTGTGATCCACTAGTGCTGGAGTCTCCTGGAGATCTTCCACCCTGCAGAGTGGAGGTTCATCCCTCATTTAACACCCCTGATACAGATAATCAGGTCATTAGAGCCAGCTATGCTAACATGCTACAGAAGGGCCTGATTATCTGTATCAGGTGTGTTAAATTAGGGCTGTACCTAAGCTCTGCAGGGTGGTATATCTCCAGGGGGAGGGTTAGGGACCCTGGCCCTTTATCGATATACATGTGATATGAAGACCGTCCCCACTGCCACAGTGCACATCTTGGGCCCTGCAAGGAGAGTGGCCTGTCACAGTCAGGGAAGTACTTGACATACCAGTGACACTACTGCTATGGCGAGTCCCCAAAATGTGGAGGAACCTTGTCCGTGTTGGGACCTCTGACCATCTGCAAGCTCCTAATAGCCGGCCCTGCTGGCCCGAGACATGAACAAAGGGACAGACTGGGAAGGTGTGGCCCTTTCCGCTGTTGATATCCTCTTTGCTGACCTTCTCTGGCAGATGTCATGTTTAGGGTCCTTGGCCAATATGCAATGGCAGCATGACTGCCTGGGGACAAGTCCTGGAGGTTAGGGGCGAGCAGGGGATACTTGGCTGTCTCCATGATAGCTTCTTCGTCTGGGGAGGGGTCCTGTGCTACTTGTCCCTTTAACAAGCTGAAAAGAGGGACCTGCTGGTGGTACCACAGTTCCAGGTGGAGGTGATCATGAAGCTGAGCCCCTCCCACCCCATCTCTGGGTATCTGGGGCACTCAATGCAGAGAACAAATCTTGGACCACTTCCATTAGCCAGGGAAGAGCACTGTCATTAAAGACTTTTGTCAGTGATACCCCGTGTGCCAGTGGACAGCGTTCCATCTGCCACCTCCCAGCCCCTTGGTGTCCCCCCCATTATCGAGATGTTAGGTGTGGCCCCTCCCACGTTCAGCACGACACTGAGCATATACTCATCACTGTGGACTTTGTGATCAGGTACCACCTGCACCCGTACTTCAAGATCCAGGAACAGATTCGTCCCAACAGTAATTAGAATGTTAAATACGCCATGATGACTGGCTACTGATTATTAAACACACAATGATACTGATTATTAAATACACAATGATGCTGATTGTTAAATACACAATGATACTGATTGTTGAATACACAATGATGCTGATTGTTAAATACACAATGATAACCGGTTGCTGGGCTGGGTACAGTGTGTATTGCGACATCGCATTGGACATTCATGCAACAGTCACATTGTGAAAGGATGAAATGTAAGAAATATTTTTAAAAAATTAAGATTTAAGAAATTTTAAGATTTAAAAATCATTTTATGATAATAAAGATTTCATCATTTAATATGACTAACACTGTTAAGGATACAAGTGTTACAAATAAATATAACCAAAGAAATAATTGATCCATATGATAAAGTGAGTTTATTAGGTTTATCCTCGTGCTCCAGATCCATACTGAATTAGCATAATTTTGGGGGGGGGGGGAGGCGGGCATTCCCACTGCCACTTTAACCTCAACACCTTGTTGTCCTATTTATATATTACTGTTTATCGTATGTATATTGCAAATTGCATGTATATTGTATATATACTAGGGTGAGGTGAAAAAAAATCAATGGACCTCGTTATTAAACGTGCATAATATCTTTGAAATAGGTTGATATTTTTAATGTATAGATAATGGATAGTGTATATTGCCCATTGATGTGACAGGTGAAAACTTCAATCGTGTTGCGGAACCTGAAAATATTAACCTATTTAAAGATATTTTGCATGTTTAATAACGAGGTCCAGTGACAACTTTTCCACACTATTGGAAAATGCTATTGGAAATTTTGGTTTTTTTCACCCCACCCTAATATATACTGTATAGATTGTATGTGTATTGCATACTGTGTTTGTAATTGTTCTCGCTATTCTGTTTATTTGCTGTTTATTGTTTATTGTGTTTTATCATAGTTTTTTTTAAGTCTGCAGGGAAGTACACAAGCAAGTATTTTTTTAACCCCAAGACTGTGCCATTCCGGAGGGTCATTGTGAAGAGAAAGAGGGCCAACAAGGTGTTAATTGCCCCAGCTGGGGGGCAGGACTCTCTTCCCCAGTGCAAAAGCCTTTCCCACTGCAAAATTTACAAGTACAGCATCTGTTTTGTGCTGCTGTTTACCTCCATTCAAGATTCACAATAAAAAGTTTATAGCGCTTTTCTATTTTATATGCACCGTATTTATTGACTGCCCTAATTTTTTTCTTTTTATTAATTGCATTGGCTGTTGTAACACTGCAATAACCCTTACGGAACTAATAACACACCTACCTAACAATAAAACTGGATAAGCTTTGGATTTAAACATCTGCTGTAACATGTTATCAGCATATGTTGGTGATCATGACAGGTTCATGGCAGAGGCCATATAGGCCCCTGCTTGGGATGCCGTCAGGGGTGTATATTACAGTGCGGATGAAGTGCTTGTTACCCCCCGCCCCCCCATAATCAAAAGCAGCCAATATAATCCCCTGGACCCACTTAAATGGGTGGAGACCTCAATCCCCCCAACCCAAAATAATACTCTTGGGTGCTGTCCATTCCAAAGCGGGGGGGGGGGGGGGGCTGGGTGCCCCAAAGTGTAAAACGGGAAGGAGGAAAATGCAGATTTTAAACTTTTACTATGTTAATGTAATACAATTTTACACTATATTTTCAAAATAATAAAAAGCTTTTTAAAGAAGCAAATCCTATTAAATAAACGATATTTTTGGTTTGCCTGGCGCCCCACCCCGAAAGTGCGTGACACAATTAACGGTATCTAATTCAAATAGACATTATCACGTCAAGAAGATCAAAGTCCTCCAGTGCCCAAGGGAGAAGAAGAAGAAGAGAAGAGAAGGAAAAACAGGAAAAAGATAATCACCACTAATGAGCAGAGCCAGTCAACCCTAAGGGCAGCACAGGTGGTCGCCTAGGGCGACTTGTGACTGATCTGCCAGGCAATTTCACTTTGCTTCAGAAAGGGGGCGCCAGCGGCGATGCTCCCCTAGGGTGTCACATCGGCTAGGACTGGTACTGTACATGACAAATATTCAATTCAATTTAATGCAGTACATTTTTATATAGCGCCTTTCACAACAGAATCACCCCTAAGATGCTTGACAAGCGTGTTTGGCAATCCATTATTGCATCATTTGTACAGATTGGTACATGAAACAGGGAAAGGGGGAATTTGAGAAAGAAAGGAAGCCAGAAAACATATTTCGGCAAGCTCCAAAAATATTCCCATTTAATTATTCATGGATAACTCGCGAATAACCGAAACCACGAATGTCAAATTTGCTCATATGGAAGGGCGACTGTATACATGTGCCGTTATGGTAAGTGGCAAATATTCTCAACAAATTTGTCATCAATATTAGCTTCACAAAAGCAGAATTAGGATAAAGGTCCTACAAATTGATTCAACTGTTAAAAATTAAATCCAACAGATTATCAGGTCACTGTCATGCAGTTAATGTATCACCATCATCTCTGTTTAAGAAGTTTGATTATTATCTAAGGTTGCTTTGTGTTCTTACATTTTCCATCACAAATAGGCCATTTTGACTGGAGTATGATGATTAGCATTAACTGAAAGTACAGTTAATGTAAAGCATTAACCAATATTTTGCCTGAATATTTTTCCCAAGGATTCCAGTTCACTGCAGGGCACACACACATCACACACACACACACACACACACACACACACACACACACACACACACACACACACATTTGTATTCAAATCTTTGTGGGGACCGTAATTTTTTTCTGTGGTCAAAATCCTAATCCCAACAATGACAACCTTAATCCCTACCCAGCCCTAACCTTAACCATAAGTAACCAAATAACTTTTAGCATTTTTAGTTTTTTGATTGCAGTCACAGATTTTTATACATTTTTATACAATTTCTCCTTGTGGGGACAGGAAAAATGGTCTCTAGAATGTCAAAATAATTTTGATCACATTGCGGGGTCATTTGGTCCCCACAATTTAATGCATACCTACAGTAGACACCACACACACACACACACGCACACACACACACTCTCACACACACAATGGGGATGTAACAAAAGGAGAAGAGCGTGGGTGGGAATTGAATCAACAACCCTGACCCTCGGGTATGAACCAACTTCATAGTAATATTATTGGTTGATTGCTTGCAGCTAAGCTAATGGGTGTCTGTGAGTTACCCTCGGGTTGGGATTTTGTGTGCGTATGTACTCTACAATTGACTGGCATCCTGTCCAGGGTGTCCCTCAACCTTGTGCCTTATGCTCTCTTGAATGGCTTCCAAGCACCCCCTCATCCTTGACTAGCAGTTATAAGATAGACGAATACTAATAATGTACAGAAGTAGAAGTTGACTGAAGATACTCACATGTCAGTACTCGAGTTGACTGAGTAGTGGTCGAAGCATTGCTCAATCGGTCAGTCCTTTTTTGAGTGGTGAAAAGGTCAGTAGCAGATGATTGGGTCCTGGTCTGGGAACCTGGTATTGCAGGATTAGATGGCGGTTCAGGCACTCTCTGGGGGGTGAGGCTGCGATCACTGGGGGGTTGAGCATGCCTTTGTGGAGTCAGAATGGTCCTCCCAGTATCATGGTGCTCAGTCACCTTTTGATTAGGCTGGTGTGCAAAGGGAGAATAATGGTAGCCTGGTCCTGCTGGACAGGTCTCCTTAAAAGCATCTACAAGCAAACACAGTGTCAGGTTCTGGCATCTGTTTCAATGTTTCATTGGAAGTCCACAGCTTGACTGTCATTATTCTGAAAATGGTCATTTAAAAAGTAAATAAATAAATAATAATAATATAATATACATATAGGTGTTCTGATACTCTAACTTCTTCCAGAGTAATAACAAAATGGTTAAGTGTGTTTTGTTTTTCAGGCTTAAACATGAACATGTTTAACCTCTAAATATAGTACATTGTTTTTATAAAACACTCTATTAGTATGAAAATTCCGCAACACTTTACCTGAGCCAAAGTACGGGCACTTCTCGCAGTTCCTTCCCCAAGCCTTGCCTACTCTACTGCAACAGCAAATTTGCTTGGTAATATTCCTCAGTATTGGCAAGGAACAGACGCCAGATGACAGTAAACGGTAGCACTGTCCTTTGTCCTCTGAGATGACCTTTTCTGCTGTAGTTTTATGAGGGGAATATGGAAAATATATGCTATGATATATGATTGACATAAATTTCCATTTTAGCTCATAGAAATTAAACATTGTTGGGGTAATTTAAGACTGTGATGATTCTGATTTAGTTACTTAATTCTATAATATTCTGAGGTTAGGTGCTCTAGACATTTCATTCTTTCTTAAGGTCAGGTTAGGAATTTTTGTTTAATATAAACTAGCTATGGTAAACATTCCAATATAATGTTGCTTCCTACTTCATTGCTTTTTCATTTGCACATACATATTTCTGACCCAAACATCTGCATGTTGCAGCAGAAATCAGATCAAACGATGTTTTTCCAACTATCCCTTATGCAGTTTTGGTGAGTCTGTGTCCACTGTAGCCTTGGTTTCCTGTTTTTAGCTGACAGGAGTGGAACCTGAAGTGGTTTGACATGTTATGCATTCAGAGATGCTTTTCTGGTCACCACTGTTGGTTGTTCGAATTGCTGTATCCTTCCTGTGAGCTTGAACCAGTCTGGCCGTTCTCCTCTGACCTCTCTCATCAACATGGCATTTCTGCTCTCAGAACTACTGCTCATTGGATGTTTATTTTTTGCATCATTCTGTGCCAACTCTAAAGACAATCACAGGAGATCTTGCGTTTCTGAAACGATGAAACCACCAGCTCTGGATTCAAAATCCATGTCATGGTCAAGCCACAGATTTTTCCTCATTATGATATTTGATCTGTCCATTAACTGAAGCTCTTAACCTGTCTATGGATGGATTTTTGTATTGAGCTGCTGTCATACAGTATGATTGGCTGAAAATCCTTTTCATGAATGAACAGGTGTACAGATGTTCCTAATAAAGTGGCCAGTGAATGTAGACATACATAAATGTTTAAATGTCTTAAGAAGATATATTTTGCAATGTCATAAACCATTATTATTTATTCTGGTATTCCGTTATGGTCTGAAGCAACTAGATATATCAATATTTTTATAGCACAGACACAGATTCATTTCCTAAGATGTATTTCAGAAAAAAAAAAATCCAGATGGCCATCTTTGACATTTGGTATGTAATCATTCCATTTGGTATGTAATCATTCCATAGTGCATGTCCCCTCAGTAACATTAATATGCATACATGATCACAAAAATATTATCAGACTTGACAGTCTTGCAAAAATATTATAGTAATTAGTGTAATTACATTGCAATTTATAATGACTATTTTCATTGCAGAGGAACACACTCAAATAGTAAACATCTAAAGCCACAATTAACATCGGAAACAAGAAACACTTCAAGGCCTTTTTCAGGTGCGGATACTTTCCAATACACTGCGTTAGTAATATCAGCAAGATCCTCTGGGTGTGTTAGGGAGGCAAACATCATCCAGATTACCTCTGAGCACAAGAAAGTGATTAAACTCTTTTGAATAAAGTCAGTAATTCAAGCAATAGCATGTTAGTATGAGGCTAACCCTTAGAGAGCTGGGGAGGATGCTGAGGGCAGTAGACCAGCATGCGGTGGTAAGTGCTGCAGTAAAATACAGAAGCCTTTTATGCAGGTAAAATAAACCAATAGAGTGCACATTAGTCTGAAAATAAAAGCCTTTTAAGACTCAATATTGTCTATAGTCTGGTAATATAATCAGCTTTTGCACAGTGAGGAATGCTGTTCCCATGCTTCAAGCTGAAAATCTTATAAAATAAGAAAGCTGAAAAAATCTTTTATTACTATTTATATAATCACTATTAATATTTAATTGTAAAAAGTTAGTTCTAACAACAGATATGTATATTACATGGTGAAGTTTGTTAAAGATTTAAGGAGCAGTGTGTGAAACGCATGTGAAAAATTCCTCTTGACTTATGTTATCCTCATGGAAAATCTGCCAGCCGATGCATTGGCTCTTCGTGTTGAAGGATCTTTACTTACAGACACAGATTCGGTGAGAAGCATCCAGCAGATACCCCTGCCTGCAGATGCAGCTGTAACTCCCACGAGTGTTGATGCAGTTCCCGTTTTGACATCGGCTGGGCTGCAAACACTCATTTATGTCTGTACAGGATAAAAACACAGTGATCAGATGTGTGAGCACATCAAAGTAGTTCAATATTCTATTGAGAAAGCCCTGCTTCTATCCGGGGGCACAAACTCTTACACACAAACTACATCCAAGGGCGGTCCCTGGATGTTCTGCCAATCCCGCCCCCCAAGCACCCCCCCAGCAGCAGAAAACAAATTTTGTCAATTCACTTACATTAAAAACATTTCATTAGCACAGGGTATCTGGCTCCTAACTAGCTAGCTCGTGCCAGTCTCACAACAAAAGTTGTGAAAAATTAAAACTGTTGTAAATAAATTATGTTACCGAATGCAACCAGGGGTATTGTGATTGTTTTCAGTTGTTATTTTGCACCCCCTAAGCAATGGGCACTCTGGGACCACTCCTATGTTACCTGAAGGGTGACCCGGCAATGCTACAACCTGAACTGCAAGTCTTTGGGGGCCTGGAGAAATGCCAGGTGGAAAACTGAGATCACTGTTATTCACTGTACAACCTTCGTACCATAGACGTACATTAATACTATATATATGGATACAATTTACACAGTTCAGTAATATATTTGAGATTATATTCCCATTCTAAGGCTCGAGCTCACGTATGGCCCTGACCACATGGTTGGAAGATGGACGGACAGATTCTGGTATTAGCCAGCTGTGTAGAAGTGTCTTATCAGCACTGCAGAAAAATGAATACTGTCAAAACATTTTCAGGACCACGTGATAAAAGATCGACTATTAAGGTGAAACAAAATGCACCCATGACCATGCACTGCATGCATCGCCAAACATCACTGGTAATGCATCGAACATCACAGCAGCATGTATAGGTGGTTTACACAGCCAAAACCTTCCCCCCACTACTCTCTGCCAGAAGCAGGATTTCCAGAAGATTCTTTGTAAAGAGAGAATAGTACAACTGAAACTTGACATGATAAGGGAGGAATCAAGTTGAAAAAATAACTTATGGCGCATGAAACTCAAATTGAGCAGTACATTGAATAACTGAGCCAGTAACACACTCTTTCCTGCCCCTTTGTAAGAACGATTACCTGCCTCACTCAGCGATACGTTTGAAAATCTGGTTCAGCTTCTGTCTCACCTTTAGTTTGCTTTAGGGTGTTGGACGGCAGCCTCCATCTATGCATAAGCTTTAGAGATTTGCACTGAATGGTTTATCCTGACTTTAGCGTATTCATAAAGTGCAAGATATTAATGCCAGATTTAGCAGAAACTCGTCATTTTTATGGCAAATCAAGCCTTCGTGGTGAACGGTAGGTTTATAAGAATAACTTAGAACATACTCTTCCAGCAATTACTTATTATTACTATTATTATAATTTTATTATTAGGTTACTAAAACTGTATGCAGGTGAAATACAGCAATGGAAGACTTACATTAAGCAATGAAGTATACCAGTTTATAAGAATGTCAATACAGGTACTTTATTCAGAATCCTTATTGGTATGAGCAGGCAGCATAGATCACAAAGAATTTTCTTTTGATGCCACTGGAACATCTTTTCAAGTTATTGAGCTACAAAAGGAATCTGGCACTTTTCGTCAACTGATACCTGTCTATCTTAATATCTAAGTACAAAAGACTGATCATAACATTCGTCCAGTCTCTTTACCACCCATAAAATTGAAAATATTCAGTGCACAGTATGTTTTCCATGAATAGAAAAATAAAATTAAGCACACATACAAGTTACTGTCCCTATTGTGAGTTGAAGGCATTGCAAGGTATTGCAAGATTTTCATGAAGAGCTGGGCCATCAAGGCATTGACTGCAGAATGTGACTATTTATGCAAGCAGACATTGAGCTTTATTTGCAGGAGGCTCTGTACTTTCTGAACCAAAAAGCCTTTTCTGTTCTTTACTTCAAACTGGTTCTGCACCTAGACTAGTGCAAGAAAGAATGTGAGAAAATACTTTTGCTTATTAACTACTTCACATACTTTGCCCAAGTTTACACAACTTTGTCCAGATAACACAGACACTGGATGTATTTTTAATGACTTGGCACTGAAGCTTAGTTTCTCCTTCAAAGATTCCCAGTGATTAAGTTAGAGTGTTTATAATTCATCTCTTTGAGCAGCTGAAGAAGTGCTGCCGGCTCCGGAATCCTGCGCTCATGGCAAATGGCAAAGTCGAATTTAGGACATTTAGGATCAATAAAATCTATACAACTGTCCCATATACTGTATGTGCAGTCCTCATTTAACCTGTTAAATGGAATATTGTAAATAGTATATTTGTGTCTTGATTACTTTTCTTTTTATTCAGTAAGGAAATCGGCAATAGCAGCCGACAGAGTCTTGTGGGTTTGGTTTCGTACGTTCATGTTCATTTTGTGGGTGTCTACTGAGTGATCGTGTCGACTCTCACAATCCAGAGATATGCCATTCTGGTTGATCGTCGTCTTTTTTATGGAATGGGGCATTTCGTTTCACGCCCAGCACTTATACGTAGGATTTGCACTTGCCAAGACTGTGCATTAAATAAGGTTGTCATGGAAATGGACAGATGTAGGGCAAACATCCATTTTTTTCATGAACTGTGTGGTAGATAGAATTCATATAAAGTTTGTCAGTACGCATAACTGCATCAGTTTAAAAGCTTATTTAATAGCTCGCATATTTTTGCTTAATGTTTTTGAGAAATTGGTGCCATGTGAATATTATAAAACGATTGGTATTTAAATGAATAAAAATCTGTTTTCTTGCTAAAAATCAGCTATTACTATCTACTATTATTTCCTTGGATATCATTATTTTATTCCTGTATTAACAGTAAATACAATTTTAAAAACTGCAAATATGCTGAAATTTATCCTGTTTTGCATACAACAGCTAATCATACGTCTGAGAACCATAGCCAGTATAAGGGCTGCACAGGGTGTGCAGGAGTGTCTGTAGTTTGTAGGCTTCTGACTTGCTTTTGTTGGGAGATATATATCCAAATGACATGACAACGGGAGAATGGAACAGGGCATTTATTGGGGCTGTAGTACTTTAACAATGAAGAGAGTGGCTTATCAGTGAAGAGCACAGTGACATAAATGGGGTATAGCGTTTGGGGATGTGTGATAAGGTCTAGCTGATAGGGGAAAGAGAGAAGCAAAAGATTTTTATAACATTACTAATAGGAAAGAGGTGAACGGGGCTTGTCTCCTGAGCAAATAGCTAGTGGGCATTAGAAATATGCTACTCAGTATCATTTAGTTTCAATTGAATTAAAAAATGTTTTTGCCTGGGATTGGCTTCAGCTGACCCCATGACACGAATAAGGAAGAAGAAGGTGGATATACAGCCGTGGGAAAAATGAAGAGACCACAGCACAATCTTTTGTTTCACTCATTTTTCAATTTATGGGTGTGCATCTGTGAATAATGTTTTTTTTTTTTTTTCTTTTTGCAAACTGCAGCCTGCTTCTTCTCTGTTTCTCATTAATAAAGGGCTTCTTCCTTGCTTTATGGGACTTCAGTCCTGCTTCCCGGAGCCTGATACGAACTGTCCTAGTAGTGCACTTTACACCTGCATTTAATATTCCCCATTCCCTTTGAAGGTCACTTGATGTCATCCTACGATTCATGACAAACTGTCGGATAGGTTAACGGCTATCCCTGGCATTAGAAAGTCACTTCCGCCCTTTATCCAGCTAGTTTCTGGTCGTTCCCAGTGTATCCTGCTTCACCTTATTCTTGTGTGCTGCTGTCTTAGAAATTTTTTAATCTGGATGCATTCTGCTGCTCAGTGTAGCCTTCTGCCAGCAGAACACGATTGAACCAAGATTTAAAAATGTGGATTTTTTTTAGAATATCGAGTGGTCTCTAAATTTTTTCTGTGGCTGTATGTATGATGTATGTATAGATGGATGGATAGATAGATGGACGTATTGCATAATGTATGACAGCATGTACATTTAGTCCCAATATGGTTGTATCTAACATGCACAACATATGTATGGCACTTGTGTTAAATACTGCTGTCGATTTGAGGGCGGTACGTAAAACCTCCATTGTGAATGTCTAATGGAAAGATTACTTGACATTGAAGCAGACATTAATAAAACAGTGTGCATATATTACATGAAATGTGACTTGTGATAAAGCCATTGCTGATGAACCGTTTCTTGTGTGAGCAATTTAATTGACCTTCCTTTTCAGGAGTGTGTCACATTTTGGTGGATTATCAATATAAGCAGTTAGCCCAGTTGAGATAAATATGAATATGTTTATTGATTCATAAATGCTTCATTCTTCTTATCTAACTGTGGACCAGAAACACTATGTATTTAACATATAGAAGTAACCACTCATAAAATATCTGTTACTAATGTTTACCCTCAATAAGGGTCCCTTATACTGTATATATGCATGAATATAGTAATGCTGAGCATTTCTGACATACAGTATAATGACTGGAACTCACCCACACATTGGGTATCATTAATCCTTTCATATCCCTTTGGGCATTGTTTATTGCCATCGGTGCCATTTCCTGAAAAAGGTAAGACAATTTGGTTAAAATTTGAATTATAGAACACCTCTTGTTTAAAGCAAAACGACTTGCCTGAAAATAATATTACAAATTACATGAAAGCTACATTCTCATTTAAAAAAAACAAGCAATGTTATTTATCACATAGACACACTCCTGTGATCTTGGGCCTCTTTGGGCTGCATTATATTTTGGGTTGGTTCCTGATGGGGTCTGACTAATGCAAAACAAGCACATTGTCACGTACCTTCTGCCCTTAAACTGACCCTCTCCTATCGCTCTCTGCTCATCCCCTGACTCAGGGCACACAAGTCCACACTGAATGCTTTTTATGTGAGAAACATTATTTAGAATGAATGTAAGTCATGTACATATTCATGTTTTGAATTATTTCAGCATGACTGGTATGAAGGTCTCGGTCTTTAAAAACATGATAAATTACATCATTAGAAAGACACAGAAGGCAGAGAAATCTTGACTTTCGCTCCCTGTACAAATAAACTTAACAACCCTGTCGTTAGATGCCCAGCCGACTATCAGTCTTGTAACCGGGTTGTTGATCCACTGCCATATCCTCCAGAAATTACTTTTAAGATCTGGCCAGTGACAGTTTATTGCTCTTTTCAATGGGAAGATACATCACTTGATTTGAGACTTGAGGACTGAAGGATCCCCAAGACCCAGATCTCCCACATGATATTGTGCGATTAGCACACAAACTCAGTGTGTCTTACGCTGAATCAGAGCTCCCACAGGCTATTGTGTTATTAGCATATACTGTAACGTGTCCTGTCCTGGTTATGTATTACTTTGACTGTTTGTATAGTTTTTAGTTTGCTATGCCTGGGTATAATAGTGAGGAGGGCCACTTTATGTTGATCCCTGTGTTTTGGATTGAATTGCAAATTGATCTGTAATATTCCTACTAAATTATGCTTTTATTAATTCTTCTTTGTCTGAAATTGCTATTGTTATCAAATTGTTAGGTAGTGGTGTCGCTGCAAATTTTAATCAGGATTAGCACACACTAGAGTCTCATTGTAAGACCTTTGGCACATTAAAATCTAATTACTCTAGATTTCTGACTAATCTCTTTGGTCGATTAACCTGGAGGTGAGTGGCAACATAATATTACACAGTGTTGAACGATCTTGCAGCCTTTGAGTTGAGTCAGACGGATCTACTGAAATTATTATAGTCCCTGAGCTGAACTGACCAAACAAGCTGATACTGCGCCAGCTTGTAGCTGCCCTGCAGTCCCTAAAACTAGATCAAACTGGTTTCGCATTGCGTACATGGTCATCGCCTAAAGTGCTGCAGATGCTTGCGATTGATTTAATTCCCCACAATATTAGTACGATCCCACCCACCAGTCTTCCAAGCACCTTTTCAGTACAGGGGCAGAGAACATGTCAGAGCTGTTTACATGGATAGCAGGTTAGTTCCTTCAAGTACAGTTACTTTTGTGCCGGTGCAGTTTTACTCATTTCTAACTGCCATAAATTCATTTTCTATTCTGCTCCAAATCTGTCAGTGTCCTTGTAGTGCACCTATGAAGCACATTCTTCATTGTCTCTTCCTTGTGGGGATATAACAATTCATGAATAGTAATACAATTCCCTCGTAGGCTTCCTTAGTTCAGATGCTGAGGAAAGTTAACTTGCTGAGATCTCTCCTGGGCTAAGACGTGCTTCACAGCCATGGTTAGAAGGTATGTTTTAATAAAACCTTGACATTCCCCTTTTTTTCCTAGGCACAGGGGCAGAATGGCAATGAAATATAAATGATTACAATCAGCGCAGACAGACGTTGCATCACCAAAACAACAAAAGTAGCCAGTGACTTTCATGTCCGCCCTAGTCAACAGAGCCCTACGTTCTTTTGCAATGCTGAGCAAAGTTGAGCTATATCCTTCTCACAGATAATATTTTAGTGTGGGTCACCTTTCAGTCCAGTAGGGTGGATAAACTAATTGATGAGGAGGCCTGTTATTATGTTCAGGAAAGTAAGATCCTTATTCTGTAGGCAGTTATCCTCCGAATATTTCTCTGTAATATATAGGATTTTCCCTCTGATAATATGAAAAAATATAGTACTATTATAGCTAATGTCAAATACTGTGCAGCCTCTTTCACACAAGGTTAACTGTCCTACACAGCATCATACAGCTCCAGAAATTTGTAAGTATGTATTTGCCTTGTGGGTATATCTATTGCTAGTGGAGATGGTGGTACAGTACCTTACAAAAATAGAACAGAATTTCAAATGTCTGGGAAGAAATAGCCCTCCAAGAAACACAGTCTATTAAACCTTTGCCAACATCCAGATAAGCACTACCTGGTAATCCCTTCATGAGAGTCATCATATCACAATTTTTGTATAGCAATATAGTTCAATTATTCTGTGACTAATCCGTGATTATTTTGGTCTGGGGTTTCGTTTGTTAACCATTTCTTGCCAAGGTCTTTCCGACACTGTTCAGACCATTAGCCACAATTCAGCCAAGGGATTTTCAACATCTGCAATCCAGCTTAACATTGTTAAGCAATCCCTACGAGAGGCAAGTTACATCAAAGTGATCCAAAAACTTTGGCCTGGTCCTGGCCCTCTTCCAAGACTGTATTTTATGGGATTTACAGAAGTCAAGCAAGTCAGCAAGGGAAAGTTGGCGGGGGGAGGGGGGTGGTGGTTGGGGGGCTGTAACTGCAAGGACCTGGACAATAAATCCACCATATAGCGTTCCTCTTTTCAGAGAGGAACTTCTAGGGGTATATGAGAGAAAAACAAAGCATTTTTAATCTTATGTTTGAATCAACATAGATACATTTCACTTCGTAGTTTGATATTAGATTGCCTGATTGTGATTTCATTTTTTTACTTAATGTTTTAAAAATGTATTGATGGTGTCGACATCAAATGAAAAGTAACCTCTAAGTAATTCAGCCTCAGTATAACCCAGTTCTGCTCCCGTTCCTTTCTCCTTCCAGCTATATATATATATATATATATATATATATATGAAGGAACCTCAGCCATATGGTTCATATTCGCTAATTATGATAATTATGGCTAATTATGTGATACACAGATACTACTTAAGTTTAGCCTGTAGCTAAATGTATTCATGTTTTAATAAGTGTCTCAATTCCTTTTTGCTTCACTTTTACAAAACATTCTTACTATCAAACATAGAACTTCTAACCACTTATCTAGTATGGGTGAATTCCTCCAAGTGAAGTAAGATGAGAAAAGACCACACTCCCCTATTCTTACAAATTATTAACCAAATGAGTAGATTGATCATGTAATTCTGCTGTTAAAGCTAGACAATAATGCTTAGTATGCAGAAAACATAGAAAACATGACGATATGCATGATCCGAAGGATAACAACAAAGAACTCAGAGTTGTTTGTGTAATTCTAGTCCCCTTGTCCTATTCTGTCATATCTATTATTCTCTTTCATTGCTGAGAAATTCACCATGTGACCATTATCTATAATGTGTATGTCTACCCCATGACCAGTTAAGTCAACTTTAGTGTACTCATGGAGAAGCTTTCACAATCGCCTCAGACTTTCTAAGAAACAAAATATTACTGATATTGCGACTAACTCTTCCACTACATCTACCACATCCAGAGACATATGACAAACGTCCATTAATGGTCATTTTTGCATAGTAAGATATTTGTATAGTGCCATATGTTTTCTTTAATCTCACATTACATTACTATTTTTTTACAATTTAATTACATTTTTAACATTTTAACATACAACGCACACAAAAAAACAAATCTGGTTCTGTATGATCTGCCTCTGACATGCCTTTCTCACTATATTAAACATTTAATATACAGTATTTGTGCATTGCTACTGTATACAGTAAAACCCTTATGAAGAAAAATCATCTATGTAGCACTGCCATTGCAGCTGGAAAATGTCTGAGATTAGTAGGAGATACATGTTTCAATAGTGATTTCTTTCATTAGACCCGCACTCCAGTGAAATCGGTCAGTATTGTGTTCTGTTACATTTTGTGATCTTTTATCGTCACAAACAAATTTGGCTCTTCCACTCATAGGTAACACTATACCTGAAATATTTTTATTAGAAAATGGATAATGGTTTATGTAAATAAATAAATAAATATTAATTTTGTGTTTTGGATCCATTTTAATGGAGAGAAAAACAAAACGATTCCTGTATTTTACAGGGTATCAATTCTCAAGCTACTGGTGTGACAAGAGGAGTTATTGCAGGTTAAAATGTTGTGGAGCATTCTGCTACAAATGTATCTCACACAGATTTGCATGGAACGGAATTCTTGAACTCCAGTTCCTCGTTGTATTCACTGGAAAGGAAGCCGTTCAATGGTGAGGAAATGGGCAAGCTCACGTTTATTTCTGACTGCGTTTGTCATGACACCTACCAGGTAAATTTTATGATTTTTGTCTTAACCGGAGTCTCCAAGCCTTTTATGTTCCGTCTCATAATATTACATTTTTTCGACTTAACTAACTGTCACTATAAGCCCCACTTCCACTTTTGCAGCAGTAGAATTTCAAAGGGACTTTTGCAAAACACACTTCTCTAAACAAATCTTTTTTGCTCAACAGCTTCATATTATTTTTGATATTAATTCTGCAGTCATGCATAATAAATTGCCATCAAATAACCAAAGCCATTAAAAAAGCCAATTCCACCATATTACCAATGCAGCTGCATTGCTGAAGCAGTCTGTCATTGGATGACAGAATATTATCTCGTAACAAATCAAAAAAGACAGTAGAATCCTACCCACCATGAGAAGGGCACAGGATGCACTCATTGATCCCCCAGGCTATTCCTGTTCCTTCACAGCAGGTCTTTGGGGTCCTTAGTCCAGGCAGGCGTGAGCTACACTGTGAAGAGAGCACAAATCACATGGTCAGATTGTTATTTTTCCCTGATAATGCGAGGAACACGTTGTTACCAGTTTATTGCTTTTGTTCTCATATGTTTGTTCTTGTTCTTAGTGCTTTTAATTTCGCCTAAGATTTGGTCCTAGAAAATTATATAACAGATGCTGTCACATTGCAAGATTACCGGAGACGGAGTAGGAAGCCACACAGCATCACAGCATATAGGTGAACTCAGTTTGCCGTTGCAAGTTATCGCCAATGACAGCAGATAATCCAGTTTATGAAACCCAGATCGCCCTGTTTAGCTGAAATATCTCAGAGTTGTTTACGGAGGCAACAGGATGGTAGCAGCCCCCAGCCACAACATACCAGGAAGCGTCCCAATACAACAGCGGAAGTCTGGTGTTATGTGTTTCATAACTGCATGTCTACCATCTGCTAAATTATTATTATTTTAGATTTTGCATTATTTCTTTCTTTCTTTAATATTCCTAAAAATCCTTTTTTGTTCCCTGGACTCTATTTGTGCACTGTGTACTTTGTAATTAGTTTGCACTACATTTACTTGTCTGCACCATGTGTACCGCACTTGCACCTTGTTTCTTTTGCACTAAATGTACGTTTGTCTCTGCTCCATGTACCTTGCTGCCATATGCGCAAGAATGTCCCCCTGGGATCAAGAACGTTCATCTAATCTAATTTAGCATGGGTTTTGTTTAGCTTGTTTCATTGTATTTAAGAGATTTAAAGTAGTGTATTTCCGTTTGCCATTCTGAGAGCTCTTAGAGATGTATTTGTGTCATAGCCAGGCATGAACAGAAGGGGGGTGGGGGGGGGTGCCTGAGCCTGTTCCTTTTGCCTAAACTATTAAAAGTGCCTTCAGGTACATAGTGCCCCCTTTTTTACCTCTGAACACCTGTCCTGGCCAAAACCTTTGGTTTTTTTTATGCACAATTGATACAGAAAAAGCATACAATGTTTTGTCCCAACTTCTAATAAAATTTGCTATTTATGAAAAAATCTGAATAAAAATATATTTAATACATGCAATTATTTTCTCGTTTATGCTGACACCATAAAGGTAAAAACAAGCACATCCTTTGTGAAACGCTTGCTAGGTACATAATTAATATTCCAAGTAAATAAAGCCTTCCTGCATGAAAATATACATTTAGAGACACTGAAGATGCCAAAGGGAATCAATTCTAGAACATTAATGCAAAGTTAATGGTGAATAGAGGTGGAAATTAAGCTCTCCCACTTGCCTGAGGCGAGTAATTTAGACCAATGTTTCCCACCCTGGTCTTTGGGGACCCCCAGACAGTCCGTGCTTCAGCTTCCTCCCTGCCGGCTAGTCAAAAACTGCATGCTGGAGCACTTTTTTCTCTTTTTTTTACACTGAACTAACCCAATTGGCTAGTAGCAAACCCCCCCCCCCCTATTGGTGATTTTCCTGGCATCTAGGTGTAATGGTAACTCTGTTCTTGAACCTCTCATCTACAATGTGCTATAGGCACCTTCCTAATACATTATAATGGCCAGTATAAGAAATAATAAAGCATTACAACATCTTCTATTGACAGACATAATGCATTATAGTCTTGATGATAATATTTCACAAGTTCAAATGCAGCTCACATCTGTAATGCACTGTATAGTGTATAGTGCATATAGTGCACTATATAATGTAGATACAAGCTTCATGAAGCATTCTTAATCCTTAATAAACATGGCTATACTGTTCCTGTATGCCTTTTTATAAATACAGTGGTACCTCAGTTCTCGAACTCATTAGAACTCGAATTTCTTAAAAGTCGAACCAGCCAGTTTGAAAAAAATTATAATAATATTGTCGTGCCCAGCGGGGACGGAACGGAGACAAAGGCGCAGACGTCAGGGTATCGGGGAATACGGGGTTTAATTACAGGTAAGGCAGGCAAAATGCAGACGGACAATACAATGACCGGACTAGGGAAACAAACTGAAACGCGGACGAAATACAGAGGACTAATGACAACAACTAGAAACAGCTGATCACACGGGGATTCTACACGGGGTTAACGAGGGGGCGTGGCACACGGAAGGAGTGGACGATCGGGGCAGGACACATTGTTTGGATACATTTATTTTCTTACTTTACAAATTACTGTTTTTATAAATGTGCTTAGATGTGGTTAGTACAGTATATGCTCTTCTTGTTTTATCCAGTTCATTTTGTGTTTAAATGCTAAAAAAAAAACACATTTAGGTGTAATTTTTGGGGCTGGGAACCAATTAATTGGTTTTCCATTATTCCTTATGAGGAAAATTAGATCACAACTCAAACTTTTTAGGATTCGATCCGGAGTTCTGAACGGATTAAATTCGAGTTCTGATGTACCACTGTATTTATAGCCATGTTTTTAATGCTTTGTAGATGCATTTTAATGTGTTACGAATGTGTTCATAGATTCATAGAAAGTGTTACCAGTGCAATTTGGATCAATGGGAACAACAGAGACAAAACAATTGTTTGATCTTACCTGCCCATTGCGAAACTCTCTAAAGCAATATTTGAAAACAGAGGACTCTGTGTCAGCGGAGTCTCCAAGAAATTCTTGGGCTTGTACTGGGGGCAATAGAGCCTCACCCTTCTCTCCTGGCAAACTGTTCCTTGCTTCCAGTACACGAGTTGTCCGTGTGACGGTATCTTGCTGAGCCCTTCCTGTTTCCCCTGTTCCTACCTTCAGAACCTGGTGGATCTTTATGCTAGCTTCAGGTGGATGCTGCACGCGCACCTTTACCATTGAAGATTCAGCTGTCGAAAGACAATATAGAACAAAACATGAAGCCCCATCCACTCACCTGAGTGTCTCTGCTGTCATGTGTAAAGATACTATTTATATATCCCATAACACTTCTTGCGGGGGCACAAATAATGTAGTACTACACAGTTACTTAATGCATTATATAACCAGTAACTAAGTCATAGTTACGTACTGATCCAATGTCTGTTCATTAGTAATCAATCACAATGCAGGATCTATATTAGTTCATGATTTGTTCTTGATTAGTAGCAGAGTAATTAAGTTACGTTACTTGTATCCCCTCAATTAAAGTGTTACCATATATCCATTAATTAATGCGGGCATTACATACATAGGGTAAGACAAATATAGATATAGGTGATGGTTTTCAACAGAGAGAAAAAACATAATATTATGAAACACAAAGCAGATACCTCAGATTCATTCTGAGGGGTCATCAGAATTACGGATGAATACCTAGAAGTGACCTATTAGACTTACAACATTATTTTCACTAATGGACAGCTGCTAATATATGTTGTAGCACGTCTGACTTGTAAGATCTATGACATCTACAAATATTTGTTAGCTATAGTCCAAAGAGACTTTCCATTTCCTTTTTTGTCATGCACCATAAATCTTATTTACAATGATTCTGAATCTGTAACCCGTTGTTACTTTGTTACCAGTTCACCAGTAAAAAAAATCAACACACATTTATCATGGATTTTCATAGAAAACACACTGTCTGCTCTTCACTCAGCTTAAGTAGTTTATCTTTTACAGAAAATCAGCAAAGATAAACATTGTCTGATAAACATTGTTTGTCAAATAATGAAACTTGCAATATTTGTATATGGGTCTGCCTAACCTTATTAAATAAATTCCATTGTATTATTGGTATCACTTACCATTTGTCTGGTGATGCTCTTGACTCTGTAGTGGGAGCAGGTACTCTGACTGTGACATAAACTGCTGGTCACTCAGCACAGAGGGATTTAATTGTGACTTTTCAATGTCATTGGTAGAGGATGCAACTGGAATGTGGCAGAACTTGCCCGTGAAGTTTTGAGGACACTGGCAACGGTCTTTCTGAATGCATACGCCACCATTTTGGCACAACATTGGGCACAAGACTTAGAGAGACCCAGGAAAGGAGGAAAACAGACATTGAAACTCATTAAAACAACATTAAATAGCTTGTTTGTTTATTGTTCCCTTCCATAAACAGTCAATCTACTTAAGGTTATATAAGCCTGCATTGCTAGATGGTCTCACATCCAAGCATTAGATAAGCTTTCAATATCAGATGAAACAGAATATATTCAGTTTTGCTTATGGCTATAGCAGGCATTAACGACTTCTTTAATTGCCCACAGAACACTGACGTTTAATTAGCTACACATTTTCATAAATATGCTAACGGTGAAATGATAAGTTTGAGAACAACTTGGATTTTATGACATTTATTCACAAATCCTTCTAGCAATTATTTTTAATTTAAACATCGAGAAACATGCTGCTTACCCATTACTGGGTCCCTAAGAACTAATTCCAGGAAACACACACACAAGTGGAACACAATAAGGAAGATGCCAGCCCATTGCATTGTTCAGAAGAGAACTGTCTCAAAATGTTGGATGGTATACATCAAACTTGGACAGACTGCACTGGCAAGAGCAATAGCATGCACAAGTTAAAGTTCGCCAACAGTGATTGATGGACATTTAACAGGATAGTTGGTAAACACAGTAGAGATACTCTAATGCCTCTAATATTGCCATGGAATTGGTTAAGCTCCTCTCTGAGCCATTCTCAACAAAAAAACCTACATCATGAGCTTCACAAAGCTAGAATTTTTATCAGGGCTGTCATTGGGACACTGCTTGTATCCAAGGCCAATGCACAATGATGCATAACCTAGTGTAAAGAGACTGAACAATGAGAAAATATAATACGGCCGGATGAGTCGTCTTTCACCTTTTTTCTACATCTGGATGGGCTTAAATTTAGAGAAAGTCAAAGGACGCTTTCAGCTCACAATGTCTGTTTCCAATTGTTAAACATGGTAAGCAATCCATCTCTTGGGAGTCATTAGGTCCGGTGATTGCTCTGCATGGTCAAACAATAGCCAAGGAATAGAAGGCCATTTTCAGGGCCAGATGCACCGTATAGTGCAAACACTGTTCCCTCTTGATTTTCCTACATTCCAGGCTAATAATGCTCCCATACACACTGCTAAACAAATTTGAGTTTTTTAAGGCATGAAGTCATACATCTTCCATGGCCTTCCCAATCATCAGATCTGAACATCACTGAAGCATCCTGAGAAATTCTGTATTTAGAACTGCAAAGAAAATTTCTTCCCTCATTGGATTTTCTTCCAGAAACACTATATGCAATCTACACCCTTGTATGACTGCATGGCAAGAAGAACTGAAGTAGTTTTGAAGACAAAAGCCATAATAGGTCCTGGATGTTAATATAATATTAGGTTTTGTGTTATTCGGGCAATGAATAAGGTTTCATGGGAGTTTTTCAGCAACATTGTTTAGTGTTTAAAATGTTGAGAATAATTGAATTGTATAGTTACACCTAACAGGATATCGTGCATATGCTTTAAGGCTAATGGCAGCCACACTCAATAAGAAGAACAACACTAAATCAAAGACATATGCTTGTAGATTTTTCTAAGCAGAATGTCCATGCTTAGTTAACCAGGGTTTCCAGAAATGGAAAGATTTGCTTAACCCTTTAACCTTGTATCCATATCCTGGCTGTTTAAATCATGTGCAATTCCTCTTGCACTAAATTATAATATGAATGAAAAACACACAATAGCTGTGCTGGAGGGTGAAATCCAAAAGGCTATATAAACTATGAAAAATATCTTAAAATATATTTCCATTATACTTATAGTAACATATATATTGTATGAATACCATGACTATAAGAATCTATGAACACATTCACTATAGATACCATCATATTGCATCATAATGGTCAGTATAAGAATTAAGGATGCGTTGTAATGCATTATGAAGGTATGTATAATGCATTATAGATGACACCTTCATAAATCATTCATAATACATAATAAACATTCATGCCTTTTTTATAAATATTTATAGCCATATTTATAATGCTTTAGGAATGCATCGTAATGTGTTATGTGTTAGGGTTGGTGCCTGTCCGGCTCTATCCCATGTGTTGTTTCCCCATTTGGCCAGCAGTTCCTACTGGGCATTCCATTTGGTGTTCCTCTAGTGCGTCCCCCACATGGCTCTATGGGTTTGGCTCAGATGCTGACATCCCTCCCATCATGAGTTTGAGGCTGGCCTAAGGCCTACCTCACCTTTGTGCTACATTTTGGTTTTGTTTTAACCCCTGGTGTCTCTATGGTTAATTTATGTTTTGTTTATGGTTACCCTGCCCGTGCCTTGTATACTGTATGTTCCATTTTACTTTTGTTTCTTGATTTATCCCAGTGTTGATAGCTGTCAATGTTTGATCCTGTTTCCTAGTCTCTAGTGTCTGTTAATTGTAATTTACTCCACCTGTTTCCTGTGTTGCTATGTGTTTCTTAATTGTAGTTTCCTAATTGTAGTTCCCTGTGTTCCTTCCTACCCTCAGTATAGTGGTTCCTGGTGTTGCTCCCTGCCTTAATTTAGTTTTGAACCCTGATGGTCCCTTTGTTTCTCCATTTATGCTCTGTTTTCATAACAAAACCCTGGTTTGTTGGAGCCGCTATGAGGATTGTCTCTTCCTCTGTCATGCCCCGCCATAACAGTTATGAAGGTGTTCATAAATACTGACAAACATGGTATTCATAGAAAGTGTTACTGTATTTACATACTGTATATATGAATAAATTGTGGGTCATAATGTTGGCTTATATCTGCCAGGTTATTAGTTTGAATCCCACCACCACTGTTTGTGTGGGAAGTCTGCATGTTCTGCCCATATTGAAACCACATGTAAATACATGCAGTTGAGGTAACTGAAATCCATAAGCTGTCCACATTGAATGTGTGTGCTGCATACAATGGACTGGCATCCCGTCAAGGGTGAACCCTGTGCATCCCGGGATTAGCATTAGGATCCCCTGTAAACCTGTACTGGTTAAACACTTGGAAAACAGATGGATGATGCCATTGTGGTAAAGGTCATAATCGTAATCATAATTTTGTGATCATTTAATTACAATTTTCATCTTTAAATCGGGGCAGTTTTTTAAATTTCTATAAGCCGTTGTTATGACCTACTGTATAGGCAGGAAAGTATGCCGTGCAAAGCATCTCAATATGGAATGTACTTAAAGAAAAACTTAAAGATTTAATTAGATATTTTTAGTAAGAAAAATTGGGACAAAACAACAACAACAATAATAATAATGCATGAATAAAAAAGGAAAAAAAACCAACTGTATGAGACCCTATAGAACCAAAAATCACGTATGTTAACAGACCTGATCCAGTAGCATAGGTCAATCTACAAGTTTTAATAACGCCATATTTGTAATGCCATTTACAAATATGCACTCAGGTTTTGAGTGACAAAGTAGAAAAACAACCCGAACAATGTAAAATTTCTGGATAGATATTTCCACTGCCCATCTGGTATACATTACTGAACTGTACTCAACTGCCCTTACAAAATTTATGTTTTCATGTTTAAGAACACATGTTTAAGAAAATAGGAGACATTCAACTTAAATCTACCAGCTGCAAAAATCTCTACCAATACATTGTTACCAACAAAACAAGGATACACCTTTATTTAATTTCCTGAACTTGCACAAAAGATAGAAGGACAAAGTATTCTTTTGTTGTTGTTGATTACTTACAGATTCGGAAGCCTGTTTCCGAAGGTGGTTGACCAACAGGCTCATTACTATACAGAGTGGTGACATTTCCATGCTCGCAATAGTTGGTGCAGCGTCCTGCACTACAGCGGACCTTGCAGATTGTAGGAGTCAAAAACATCTTGATGCGTTCTCCTTCTTTGCTGACTGTCTGACTGCTGGCTGAGTGGGTCAACGACATGCAGCAGTGGAACCAGAACAGAAAGCTGAGCAGGGGCATGATGGTTCTGGCTCATTCCCTGAAGCAAAGAAGGTTGAGAAGTACACCTTTCAGGGGAGATGTAAAGGACAGAAGAGGGCCGACCATAAAAAAACATAAACGACGAAAGACCTCAACCTTTTCCACTCGGCTCTGTGCGCGAAACAGTTTGCAGTGAACAAGTGAAAAAACACCCAATGTTTTTTCCCCAAAATGCAAGACAGAAACTATGTAAGGAGGGAGTTTTTTGGCATGCGTATGTGTGCAATAACAAAAAAAAGCTTGCTTGAAACCAAATAGCTGTCCACTTAATTTGAAGCAGCATACTGAGCATGCTCTGGGCTCAACTCCAAACACAATGTTTATAAGGGATCCAATTCACATGCGGTTAACTCTTCACTGCAACCCTTCTCTGAAATACTGTGGGAGAAAATGCCACAGGAGGCCTAATAGGGCTTAGATTTCCGTCTTCTGTGGTGAAATAAAAATTATTTACGCCTATTTAATTTCACCTTCTATATTGGTAAAGATTACTTTACCCTATATGGGTTTTGTTGTCTGCTGAAGAAAATGAAGTACTTAATATTCACTGAACTTTGCGTAGCCTTGGTATTGTCATCAAGAAGCTAATTTTTGAAGCTGTAGAAAGTTTGGTTTTATAGTACATGTGTCACATCCTGCCAATCAAGTATGCCTCACCCTCCTCCCTAACGTGGCCATGAAGAGCCACGCCTGTTGCTTGTTACCCCTTGTTAATCTCTGTATTTAAGTACCTGTTTGTTTCATCAGCCCCAGTCCAGTCATTGATGTGGTTCCTCCTGTCCACCTGTGTCCTTCCCTCTGCTAGACTTGTTTGTTTCCCTGCTCCTGTTCAGTTAATATAGCCCCTCTTTAACTAACCCCTGCCTTTGAGTCCTTCGTCCCTCATGCCATGACACCATGGAGTTTAAATGCAGTGCAACGCAGGGGAACACCCCGGAGAGGATAAATGTCCACATATTTCGCCACATTAATGCGATGTCGAATTTTAATGTTTTGCAGCTGTGGACATCTCAGTTTATTTGACGATGCTTATCTTTCATGAACAAATCACTGTTTTAATCAACTAATTTCTGTACAAACAAATTATTTTCCTATAAAAGTGCTTCTCAAACCAGTCCTCAGAGGCCCCCAGATGGTCCAGGTTTTTGCTTCCACCCAACTCCAAGGGAATTGGGGGAGCGCAAAAACAAGGACGGTCTGGGGGTCCCTGAAGACTGGTTTGAGAAACACTGCTATAAAATACATCAATTTATTTCAAGCAACCCAGAAGTCATTTAAAATGCTTTTTCTTCATGGCCACAGTGATGGTTATGCGATCTTCATGAAACAAAAAATGTTACACATGCTGGGCATGTTACACGGTCCCTGACAGGTTCATGCAATCTGAGATGAATGTTGGGAAAACTCTGTGTGAGCTGAAAAATATGAGCTAAATTCAGCACCACCAAGCACTAAGGCATGCTTCCTTTGAGTACAGCCTAATGAGGTCATTCAGGTATAAACACAGGAACTGCCATATTTTCTCTGTGACTCTGTAACCCATCATTACTACAAATTTTCTCAATTCAGAACATGTCAGTTCTTTGTTATTCCTCATTGTCACTGATAGCCAGATGAGGAAACACCTTCCCTCACCCCCCCCCCCCCCCAACCACCATGACCATATCTGTTTAAGGAATTCTCAAAACAGTTGTAACAACACTTCCGGAACAAGCTTGTCAAGCATACAAAACAAAATCCAAAACGATGACGAAACATACACTGTCATTCCACTGTATTGCAATGAACACACTGTGGAGTTGCCTTTTGGCACTGCGATTGTTTAAAGCCTTCTGGACACATAAACACCCTTATTGGGAATAGGAAACAAGATCACATGTTAAAATCTACAAAATTCACCCTTTAACGCCATTCTGAGTGCACACATTCAATACTTGTAAATGCAGCAAGGGAAACAGTAACATTCTATAAGCAAATGCTTACAGAGATGAAGAGTCACAGGGAAACGACCCATATATGTCAGGACAAACATCATCACGTGCTTCACTAAGTACATCCAAAGGCATAAATGTGGTTTGAACATTGGCGGGGTTGAGGTTTGCAGCCATTTAGGGGGAGACATGATATTTGGGGGGATTGTATTAGCCAGTTTTGATTACTAGGGGGGTTACAACCTCCCCCCCCCACCCCCCTGTAATTTATGCCCATGGGTACATAAACAGTAAAATTGGCAGAATACTCTGAATAATACAGATAATACTAATAGTACACATGTTTAGTTAGGGCTGTAAGAGCAAGAGAACAATGCAGTTGTGGGGAACCTGGTTTTATAATTTGATTAATTTCTTCTTTTAAGCTGTGAGAAGAGGCAATTTTCCAGGAAATGGTAATTCACATGGCCTGCAGTAAAGGTAAAAAACAGAAATTGTCTCCCTTAAGTAGTACAATACAAGCTAAATACAGCAAATTACAAAAATGAGTCTAATCACAGGCAGCACTATGGCTTGGGGGTAACACTGTTGCCTGTTGGGGTTACAAATCCTTCCTCAGCTGTGTATATATGCGTTCTTTCCATTTCACCCGGGTTTCCCGAAGGTATCCTACTTTCTTCTCACAATCCAAAGACATGCAGTTAAGCTAATTTGCCCATTCAAATGTAACATCTATGTTCTGGCATTCTGTTTGCGGTGTACCCTGCCTTGTGACCTTTGCTGCCTCAGACAGACTCCAGGCCTCATGTAACCCTAACCAGAATACATATGGAGTAAAATCACATGATGTATGAAAGTGTATGTTTCATTTAGTGCCACGTCATTACTTGTTTTAAGCAAACATTTTGATTTTAATGAAAAAAAAATGTGAAAAATAATATTCAATTCATAAACATTGTTGTTGGAAATTGATTTTAGAGTTCAAAATTAAAACAACAACGCAAGGGGTTACTTGATGATGTGTTTATCTTGAAAATTAGTGTCACCCAACATAGTTCATAATCTTTTTCTTTGATTAAAGTACGGTCAAGCATCTCAATTGACACAATGAATGTATAATGTGTATGGCTTACAGATAATGTTCAAAAGTAACATCTTAATGGTGTAAATACTGGGGAGCAAAAGATCTGACGCTTTCAAGTGCTGAATAATAATTCTGTAAATCTTATTTCAAAACAACATCCATCATGCCTCAATCGTGAAACACCACGCATCAAAATTCAATGAGTGGGCGAAACAAAACAATAACAGGATTTAGTTACAATAGCGTATCTAAGATTTTATCTGTGAAGAGGGAAATTTTGCAAACAAGCCCTTACACCAATAATGATCCCTATTGTTAGTTAAATATATAAAAACATAATATCACTGGAATACTATGAGACTGCATATTCTGTTTTTTTTTTTTTATCAAGCCAACATAATTTGAGTGCAAAGTTTATAAATATTTACCCCATTGTGCTCTCACCTCCCACTGTTGGGCAACTGGATAACTTCCAGTGGCAGGTGTCGACCTGAAATTTGTGAGTCAGAACAGCAGGAATTAAGCCAAGCTTGTGAACTGGTTCCAGATTTCTCTTAAGGTTCATTTGTAAATTTAAATTAGGCATTGGGCTGTGCATTTACACAGTTGATAGAACTGATGTTACAGAGCTGTTTGAATTGGCATCGTAGTTGAATGTAGGGAATGTAGATGATGTCACGACTCAGTTCCTGTAGGTTCTCATACCTCATGCCTTTTGTTTTACTGAAAACATAATATGTTTTCACACACTTGCATTATCTTTTCATTTTAAATATACTGAAAAGAATACAACAACTGATAAAAGTTTATTTTTTCAGTCACTGACGCATGTAACTGGTGATATAGACCATACAGCAGACTTAAACGTTTTGACTTATAACTAACTTAACTATAAACAAAATAAAGAATAAAGGACAACAACTGAGTAATTCCAGTGCTGATAGATGGTGATGACTGGCTTGTCCCAGTCGTATTTTGTATCTTAAAACATGTCCTATATAATTTAATTTCACTAATACATTAATACAGATAGAAAATCAGGCATGTGGAACGTACATAGATGGCAAGGTAAGTTTGCTTTTTATGCAGGCTGTTGTGGGCAAGGAGGCATGGCAGGGGTGCAAGCAAATAGCCCATGGGGGGCCAAGTTTGTTTAGGGAAAACGGGGAAAAATATATATAAATGGGTCAGTCTGGAGGCAGCAGTTCATTCGGGGCAGCCATCCTCCGACATTCACATGGGCAGAGAGAGCACGCACCACTGCCTTGCCCTTTCCTTCCCTCCGGAACCACCCCCCGCTTGAGGCCATTACCGCTGTGTCCTGTTGCCCCAGGTAGTGATATACCGTTGTACCGTAGGCTCATGTGGTGCTGAGCGCCCCCTGCTGGTGCATGGCGAGTTCCCCGTGGACTGTTGTGCCACAACACCAACTCATAAATGGACATTATGGATATATTATGTATTCAGGTTGATAAAACACTTAGATACAGTCCTCTGGACACTTTATTTTTAGTTGCCCGCCCAGCTGTGGATGAGCATTGCTCCTGCATGTTTTTAGTTAAAATGCGATTTATTCCATGCTCTTATGTTTTAATCATAATTGGCAAACTAACATTAGGAATGGGAAATGTTGCCTGATTGTATATTATCTTTTATGTTATACATATATACTTTCTGAGGATCTATCATGAGGATTTCAACTGGCTGAAGAGGGTTAAAATCATATATTAAACGGTACAGAATAGAGCAGCTTAGCTTATAATTACAGTAATCGTTAACAGCACTTCTTGCACCCTCTGCCCCTCAGCAAAAACTCCTCCCTCTCATATTGTCCTTCAACTAACACAACCACTAAAATGCAACTAATGACTGAAAAATTGTAGAAGCATAATTAACACTTCAATTTTGAAATTTAAGAATGAACCGTTTGTCACCAAAAACTGGAGACAACAAATGCATAATAAAACAAGTATATAAAGCCGCCTTACGGAGATGACTGCTGTGGAGTCAAAATTCCTTCATGCTGAAGAAACTCAGACCCACTAATCTGGATAAGGCGTAACGGCAGTAGGGATTTGGGAGTAAAAGGGGGGATATGACCAACCAGCAAGCCTGATCCACGCTCCTTTTTGAAGCGGTATGAGGTATAGGTCAGTTATATGACATGTGAGCAAATAAAGGTATTTCGACCTTGATCCTATCTTACACCAGAGGACAACACTTGTGATAAGGTGTCAGGGTATATTGTGCGTGTCTGTGCGTGCATGCATGTGTGTGCGTGCGTGTCTGTGCGTGCATGCGTGTGTGTACTTTTTCGCTCGGTCCCCAGAATATAAACCTCAATTTTATAAAAACCTGTGACTGCAATCAAACAACTAGAAATGCCAAAAAAACATGTATTTTGTTTAGTTCCCTACGGTTAAGGTTAGGGCCGGGTAGGGGTTTAGGTGATTGTTGGGATTAGGGTTATGTCCATTGAAATGATGAGAGAGTCCCCACAAAGAAATGAATATAAGAATATACGTGTGTGTGTGTATGTGCGATTGAATAGGCTGCCAAATTAAATTGTTGATTTAACAAGTAGCAATGTGTTATTGCTCATTTACATATATACTATGGTTAAATTGTATTTTTACACTTGCTACCCAGATAAATAGCTTTAATATATGCAGGTTCAGCCTTGAGGCGACGGCATGAGAGTTTAAAGTAATACAAAAGTAGCCTGTCTCAGAATTGAGCAACAGAAAGGGCAGGAATTTACTATCACCTTGAATGTTGCAGGAGTAGGTAGATGCATCCATTGATCCATCCATCTTCCATTTTTTTGTTCTGGTCAAGGTTGGGTAGCCTGGAGCCTATTCCATCATGATAGGGTATCTTAGGACACATACGGCTAGCTTAGAGAGACCAATTAGCAAGCTACTTAGCATCATGGGATTGTCTTCGGGATTGTCACTACCTCCTAACCTCCTAACGAGGCTGCTGGGATTGCTGTAGAGGCTGCTGGGATTGCTGTACGGATCGGGAGTGGTGTAGTCGCTGTG